AGAGCTTGCCAAAATGGCTAGTGGGATGAACATTGGAGGGCACAAAATCTGAAATTCAACAGTTGGATTTGCTCTTCAGCACCCTGATTTTGCCCCTCCTGCCTGGGATGGAGACCCTATCCCTAGGCTACTTTTGGGGGGGGGGCTGTAGGAAGGAGGGGACTTAATGGCCAAGTACAACACAAGCATGAAGCTAGAGCCACAAACTGCTTTTATTATCTAAGAATTTTCACAGGACCGATGTTGAAATAATGATACTGTTACAGATTGCCATGTTCTTTTGCAGGGTGCCAGGTTCACATTTAATTTTAATTAAAAAGACAACCCCCCCCCCGTCTTTTAAGGCAGGACACGTGGCAGAAAGTAAGAGATGTCTGTAAGCATCCTGAGGCCCATGGGCACCATGTTGCCTCTGCTGTATCACTTTCCCTTTCTTGAGAAAGGAACACACTTTGGGAAGGGTGATCTTAAAGGAGAAAGATGTTCACTTGGTTCTCTCCATGGTGCTGCTGTCTCCATCACCCACGTGCCTTGAGAACACTGTATTCCTAACATGTGAATGCAGGACCCTCTCAAGGTCTTCCATCCAAGTTTCTGAACTGTGGCAGGGATTCCACTCCAATCCTTGAATCAAGTCTCTCTGAATTGATTCAGATTTGGACGCCTTTTGTGGCTGAATGCACACCAGCCCTTTTAACATCTAAGAAACAAGGGCTTGATTTGGACAATTTGGTGTGAACAAAGTCAAGTCACTGAATCAAATTTCTGAACTGACTCAAGAGTTTGAATCAGACTGACTTGATGGTTCAAACTGAATCAACAGTTCCAACTTCACACAATTCACAGAGGCCTGCTGGTTGGCCACCTTACTGCCCACCCGACTAGAGGGGTCACTGCCACCGGAGGTAGCTCATCTAACCTTGGCTCATGAACTCAGTAACAATGTAAATGGGCTCTTCTGATACCACAGCATACAGCTGCACCAGTTTGTCATGCCGTAAGCGCTTCATGATCTGGGCCTCCTCCAGGAAGGCTTCTGGAGACATGGTCCCAGGTTTCAGCGTCTTCACTGCAACTTTGGTGGTACCATTCCAAGTGCCTGGAACCAGCAAGAACCAGGAGCAGGGTCACTGAAGACAGAAAGGACAGGAGCCCAGAATCTGTAGCCTCCCCCACCCCAACTTTATGGAAATGGACATGGCTGAAAAAAGTCTAAGTTCAGCATCCTCCAACCCAGTGCCCTCCAGATGCATTGGGATTTCAGTTCCTAGAATCTCTAGCCAGCAGGTCCATGATCCTGGGAATTCCCCCAACTCATTCTGGGAGCACAAAGTTAGGGACAGCTGACTTAAACAACTGAAATGAAATGAACAACAACAAAATGAGATGAGGAAGAAATGATGTGACAGGAATGCCCCCATGCTGAAGAGCTCAATTCAAAAGAAGCCATTTCCCATAGCTAACATGTTCTTGGATATGTATATCCTTCTTAAGGTTCAGCTTTCCAAACCGGCCTTTTCTGGCAGGAGCTACACTATGGGTTTACTTCTTTTTAACAGATGCAACAATAGTTGGATGCCCCATGTTATCCAACACTGGGTTAATAACATGTTCTCTAAATGTGGATCTTTAAATAGCAGGTATCAGAAGGTTGTTGTGGCATTTCCACAGGGACCCATTTTTTACAAAGGGACAATCAAAATAAAATAAAAATGAATAAAACAAAGCAAAAATTGGAGGAAAGAAACAGTTGAAGGAGGGAAGATCCAAAACGGCTCAGTTAGGAGCTTAGTAGATCTGAGTCCTTACTGTTGGGGAGGAAATGTAAAAGCAGAGGAAGAAATGGAATGGTGCATCCTGGAAATTGGCATGGCTGGTTGGCTGGGACCAGGACCAGAATCTCTGCCCTGCAGTATTTTATATAGGTCTTGCACTTTCAGTCTATGGGAAAGGAACATAGGCAATTCTTGTTGGGAGAAAGAGATGCTATTAAGTCACATGGTAGCCACATGATCCAGAAAAAAGATGTGGTTGCTTTAAAGAGTTGCAGACAGGTGCTTTAAAGAGTTGCAGACTCATGCTCCTGCAAGCTCTAAAGCACCTTCCTGGAACTGAATCCAATACACTACATAGCCCTAGTGTGCTCTGCATGCAAAGCATGGGTTTTCTTCTCCCCTGAATTTTCCCTTCCCAAATGAAGCAGAGTGGCAAGATTCATATTCTGATGGGTCTCATCAATGATCTCCAAGCATAGTCTGAATCTAAAATGTGCCCTCCTGCAGGGGAGGGTACCCATCTTGTCCATGTGTGCCCTCCAACAATGATGCAGAAAACCCCGGTCCCTTGCCTTACCCATCCACACATCTCCGAAACAGCCCATGCCAAGCTTCTGGTCAAAGTGGATGGACTCACGCCTGATCTCCCATGCATCTTTAGACAGTCCCATAGTCTGGGGCCTTAGAGTGGGGCAGACTTTGGTTAGGAGGTGGCAGAGACCATCATTGAACTCTGTAAGGGGTGGAATGAGGGAGGGTGGAGAGATGGGATGGAATGAGATGAGATGGGGAAATGGCGTGATGAATGAAGCATGCACCCCGGAGAGGCGGCTGGAGCTGAGTGGAGGATGAGAAGGAGCAGAGCACAGGCAGCAATATTAATTGTAACCACCAGGTGGTGCCCTTGGCTTACTTTTAAAGCATCAATGAAACACCACATTCCTGTATCTTCAGTGCACATGTTGAAGAGAGATTTGGGGCATGGTCAAACTTGTCTGCTAAAGTCTCCACTACTCTATCCTGGTAACCTTTGGATTCCACTACTGAAATCAAATGCAGGCTATTTTCAAAAAGTACCTGTAAGCTAATGTCTAGTTCAGAATACAGACGTAACATGGTAGCATGAATGTTTGAGCCAGAAGGTCATCTGATCACAAATCAGTCACTGCTTTAACTTAGATCACAGGCACCATCAGGACCACCTCCAGATTGCCTTCCAAGGCTTTTAAGAATGCAAGAAGGGTTGTCCCAACTCAGACAAAACCCCTATCAAATTCTATGTTCTTTCCTCACAGGAGAGAAGCCATCCAGATGCCATGGATTAAGAATCCCACAAGAAGCACATGGTTATAATAACGCTCTCTCCTCTGGTAATCAGAGACATCTGCTGCCTCCCATGCTGGAGCTTATAGAGAATCAGGCTTCATAAACACTGTAAGACTCTTTCCATTGTGAGTTTCTCTAACTCTCTTTGAAAGGCCTCCAAGTTGGCAGCCATCCCTACCTCTTGTGGCAGCGAGTTCCGTTGTTTAAATACCTATTGTCTGAAGGACTTCCTTTAATTCATTCTGCATCTTCTCCCAAGTCCTTCTGCCCCATGACTTCTCCATACTGAAAGGAATGCTGAAATCCTAGGAGAAAGACTTAAGGACGTGGAATTTCCCCTTCCTTTATCACGGGGGCAGCATCTGCAAGTCCCCCCCCCCAGTCCCCACGGCCTGGCCAGCTCCTTCTCTTCCTCCTCTCTTCCGCACAGCCTCCCAATGACTGGTCATACCCATCCACACTTCCCCGAACTGCCCATTGCCCAGTTTCTTGATGAGCTGCAGCGATTCGCGAGGGATCTCCCAAACGTCTTTGGTTTTCACGGACAGGTCTGCCAGTTTGGGCATCCCCTTGGGGCATGGCACGGCCAGGCGGCAACACAATCCTGCAGCTCTCTCTTTGCACAAGAAGCCCCCAAAACCAAGGAAAGGGGGGGGGAGAAAAAGCAAGAGATGCATCACGGGAGCAGGGAGGCGAAAGAGAGAGAAACAAAGGATGATCAGATGAGAACAAACTGGTTCCATTATTTTTATTTTTCATAATGTCCAAATTAAAAGGCGAAAGAAAAAAAGATTACAGTGAAAGTATGAGAAATAGAAGAATTGCAAAAGGAAAAAAGCAGTAGAAATGCAGATTAGAAAATAGAAAAAAAGAAAAAAAACAGAAGAAAAGATACAAACATATGCGGACATTTAACGAAGCAATTTCTGACTTCTTTTGCAAAGGATATATACAAAAACCCTTTCATACAACCCTTGTTTAACTTTATATTAGATGAGAACAAACTGGAAAGCAGCAAGGGGGAAAACTTTATTCCCCACCACTCAGTCCTCAGCCCAGAGAGAGTTATTGGTGCTTGCAGAAAGGCAGCAGAGGACTCTACTGTCATGACACACCTGTTGAAAGTAACCTTCAGAAAGATTATTTTGCTTCAACTTTTTGGGAAAGGAGTGATGGAGCCGTAATTGAGAGCTGGGGGAAAACGTGGTTTGCCCTTCAGGATGTGATATCCATTCTAATTAAAGTCACTAGGAGAGCCACTTTGGATTGAATCCTCTTTTGGGGGGGATCTAAAATCTTTGGCTTTTCCATTGCACCACGGAAGCTCTGGGGAAACGTCTCAGTTATCCTCACTTTGGATGTACAAATGCTGACTATTGCTTTTAGTTGGGCTTGCTATCTAGCCTGGCACTTTTTCAATCCGCTTGTCGATAATTATTCCCCATCTTTTCTTCCCCTTTGGAAAGTAAAATAGGAGAGAAACCAGGAAAACAGGGAGTTTTTAAAAGTATTGCCAAAGTGGGAAGATTGACCTTTGCAAGCCTCTGCACGCCAAATTCAGGAACAGACTTCTGAGCTGGTAGCCCTGGATACTTTGAAGGGACATACATTGGATACTATTTTGCCCTTCTTCGTGTTTATTTAATAAACATTTGTTTACAAGTAGTTCTCGACTTACAACGACAATTGGGAGCGGAATTTCTGTTGCTAAGTGATGTGGTCGTAAAGCACGACAGCATCGCTTAGCGTCAGCAATCCCTGAAGTCTCAGTTGCTGTTGTTAACTGAATCCCACGGTCGTTAGGCAAGGCAACTAAAGTCAGTGGGGAAGCTGGCAGGAAGTTGCAAGTCCCAGGCCCACAGGCAGGTAAGTGGCTGCTGCTGGGTGGGGGACAGAGCGAGAGGGGGTGCGGGGGAGGTGCATGGGGAGGGTTGAAGGATCGCGCAATGGGGTGTGCGATCGGTGTGGGTCAGGGAGGGTGCAGGGGGGTGTGAAAGTGGCTGGCGCAGTGCAAGTGCAGGGGGCTTAGGGAGGTTGTGCAGGTGGGGGAGACTTACCCCAGCAACTTGCGACCTTTCCTGCCAACTTCCCCACTGACTTTCTGAGAAAGCCAGCAGGGAAGGTTGCAAATGGTGATCACGTGATTGTGGGCCGTTTGGCAACCGGTTATAAATGTGAATGGTTTGCCAAGCACCCAGATCATGATCACATGACCATGGGGATGCTGGGACAGCTGGAACTCCAAGGACCGGTCATAACCACCATTCATTCAGTACCATCATAACTTGGAACAGTTGCTGACCAAATGGTCATAGGTTGAGGACTACCTGTATTTGTTTAATAGCAACAGAACCCTGGCCAAATCCAGGTTAAGATGACAACAGGAAAGATGAGTGGAGCCTTACCCTTCCCTGAATCCATTTTTAAGAAACATTCACTCCTGTGGATGGCTGCACAAGGCCTGAATCTATGACTAGCCAAAGCAGCCTCACTGGTTGCAGAACACACTCAGCCATAAACTGATCAGCCACCATTTAGCATATGGGGTGCTGTGCAACTTCAGTCTGTTTGATTTGTCCCTGAACCATGACAGAGGAGCCCTAACAATCCTGAAGGTACAGACGAAGGGCTCCTGAAAACACGAGTCCTAGTACTTTTTTCCCAATAAAATAACCCTCCACAACCACCCCCAAAAAATATCTCAAGGAGGAGCCCCAAAGAGCAGGAACTGGCACCTGAACTTCCATCTTTCTCCTGCCAGTCTCTTGCTGTAAAGAGCTACAGAGATGGCCTTGGGGGAAATATTCAGAAGCTCTTACAAAAACAAAAAGGGCGAAAGAATTCCCTGAGCTCTGGGACAGGAGGTAAAATTAGGAACAGGCTCAGGCTGGCTCCTCCCTGACTCAGTGGGGTATAAGAGGGAGGGGAGGAAAAACACTATCAGACTTGCAAGAATCCTGCAAGTCTTGTTATTATTTCCTATCTCAGGGTTTCTCAACCTTGGCCACTTTAAGACGGGTGGATTTCACCCATATGCTGGCTGGGGAATTCTGGGAGTTGAAGTCCACCCATCTTAAAGTGGCCAAGATTGAGAAACCCTGGCCTATCTCAATCAAGCTTAGTACTAGTCTTCTTGTGGCATCTGTTTCCTGAACTGGACAACCTTGAAGGGCTGACACTTTGTGGACCAATCCTGACACCCTCCCCCCACCCACAAATCCATTGCTCTTTACCTCTGTAATGCTGCACCAGCTGTTGCACAGTCTCAAACTGGGTCCGGGTGGTGATGTAGTAGCCACCGCTGTCCAGCTTCCGGATCTTGTAATGCTTGACGTGGTCCCCCTTCATCTCATCCCAATCCCTGATAGACAGCGAATAGGCACCTAGGAAAAAGAGATGGGAAGCAGAAGTGGGTTGTTTGGGGGCAGCCTTATTTTGGATTATACATATTTCTGCAGATGTCACTGAACTGCAATTCTCAAAGGCTCCGGGCAGAGTGGCCAACTGCAAGGCATGCTGGGGACTGTAGTTTAGCCTCACTGATCAACATATTCCTTGCCTCCCCAGATGTAGGACCTCAGTTAATAGGATGTAGATGGTGATATACCAAAGATGACAACATTTTAGGGAATGTTGAAAGTCACTCATGTGTGCTTCAGTCTGATGTACGCTTATAATTAACCCAATAAGGCCATTCAGTTTTTTGCTTAATCTGTAAAACCCTGAAAGATTTGTGGCCTGGACACCTTAAGGACTTTCTTCATCCCAAATATTCTTCCCTGAAAGCTCCAATCGATATCTGAGGCCCCACTTTGCAATTGGTAGTAAGGCAGGGGCGAATTGGAAAGAGATGTTTTCCACAGTGGCCCAGCCTTTCCGATTATGCTCCAAGTATTCCTCCATACACAGTTTATTTAATTAGAGGAAAGGGAGAGCATATTGTTTTGTTTACCCTTGTATAAGTGTGCACGTCCCCAATCCTGATTAAGACCACCTTGCTTGCAGAAGGCTTACCTCTTCCCCCAACACCAGAACACCACAGGCAGACTCAAACAAAGCCCCACCCCCTAACCCCCCAATACCAGTGGATTTTCTCTTTTTCTAAATCTTCTTTCTTTTCACTGGGTGGCCTTGCCTGGAACCAGGACCTCACATATTCACACTGGCAGAAGCAGAATCTGCGCCTGTAGAATATTGGGTATTTTAGCCCTACAACAAAGCTATTCACAAAAGTCTACGCTCTGTGTTTTGAGTTTGAGAGGTATTTCCTATTGTTTGTCATGCTGTTTTTATATGTTTAGATCAGTGTTTCTCAACCTCAGCCACGTTAAGATGAGTGGACTTCAACTCCCAGGATTCCCCAGCCAGCATGCTGGCTGGGGAATCCTGGGAGTTGAAGTCCACTCATCTTAACGTGGCTGAGGTTGAGAAACACTGGTTTAGATCAACTTTCCGCACCCTGGTGGTTTCCAGATGTGTTGGATACAAGCTATGGCTCCCTTCCTGATTGGAAAGTGGCCACTGAGAAATGGCTGAGACAGGAGACGGCAGTGTGTCTCAGGAGCTGAATGGGTACCCCAAAGTGGGTTTTGTGTGACTTGCAATTCAGAAGCCTTTCTTTCATTCTAGTTGGAAAGGGACTCCACACAGTGAAAGATAGATGACACATCACTTGCTCTGTTCTCAGGACTAACCCAGGAAATGTTGTACTTGGGACAAAAATAAGATGGCACCCTTTGTCAATGGCAGTTGCCTCCATGTTTGCAACCCAGATCTTTTCATGAGCAACAGCCGATCCGTCTGGGTGGGAAATCTTTCTTCCACCGAATGGGCAGACGAATGCTGTGCTCATCAGCCTTGCAATTTCTCAAAGGCTGCCTTGGGCGATGAGTTTTCTCCTGGTGCTTGAGAACTTCTAATTTTGCTGGTGATATTTTTCAGCTTTCAGTATCATTGGAGGCAGCAGAATATATTATTTTTGGCGGGGGGTGTTTTTGTAGGGTGCAACTTCCAGTCATTCTACTGCCCTAACCATGGCTGCTGTTTCTTAGCCTAAAAAGCGTGCTAGGAGGAGTCCCTTCCAGATGTCTTCTCTGAGGATTTAATGGAAGAAGTCTCTGGGGCACAATGAGAGATGGGACCTTCTCTCTCTCCCTTACACACATACAGCTAAGTGTGAGAACACCACCCTCCACCCATGAGAATATTATCGAAATTCTCATCTCCTTAGAAGTTTCCAAAGCAACTTCTTTATCACTGAATCCAATAAGACCAGGTAGAAAAAAATGCAAGATGATACTTTTTCTCCGGGCATTAGATGGGACTCCATCCTCCAGCAGACTGGAAGATAGCAGCCTCAGCTATGAGGGAAATCTGGAAACACTGCACACCATTCTGCTTCCCCATGGCTTGCTAGAAGGTAAGGGAAAGAGGGTGAAGTCCCATAGTACCTTTGGTGGTTTCGCTCTCGCGGATGAGAAAGGTCCCCCGGGGGTTGCCATGGCACAGCAGCTGTCTTTCAGCATCCTTGCGGCCAATCTTCCCAAAGTACCACCTGGGGAAGGAAGAAGACGAAACCGATCCTCACCCACGCCTACCATAAAATGGGAACTAAAAGTAAATCCCACACAAATTTTTCATTGTAAGCCGCCTAGAGTCACTTTATTGTGAGATGGGCGGCTATATACATGTGAGAAATAAATAAATAAAGGTATAAGGTGCAAATAGTGGGAAAGAAACAGAAAGAATGGTTCCCTTCTCACCACATGCTTAACCTGACTACTGAATTAATGCAAGACGTTGAACATGAGCGAACAAAACGGCCTGGGTTAGGAGCCTAGGTTAAAAGAACAAATTAAGCGAGTCCAGTATATGGTGCACGTCCAAGTGGTAGATTTGTTACTGATCTCAGTTAAATGCGTTTATATATTTATTTATTCATTTGAGTTATATTGCCACCCATCTCACATAAGCGACTCTGGGCGGCTTACACTAAAAACAATAAAATACTTGATACAAAATAAAAAGCAAAAACATAGCAGCCGAGCTTCATAAATAACCATTGGCCAAGCCAAGGGATGGGCTCTATCATACTCCCTGGGCACAAAACCAAGTTTTCAGGGCTTTATGGAAGGCCAGCAGCGTCGGGGCTAACCTAATCTCAGGTGGAACGATGCTCCACAGTGTTGTGTGAATGCAGACAAATATTTCACTGAGTCAGAGGCAGATTTTAAAGGCGTAATCATTGCCTAGAGACAACCAAAAGGGTTTCCTGGTAGGCTGGAAAAATGTGAAAAGCCCTGCCTGATCAGGATGGGTGATCCTTGGTTAGATAGAAGGTACAGTTAACAGTCTGGGGACTGTTGCTTTTGGGGTCAGTGGACAGCAGGGGATAGTCTGATGTTCCAACTCAGGTGGGACCACGTTTTCCTGTTTTATTTGGGCAAATTCTTTGTGCTGCAGCCCATTTTAGGATTATGCTGCGGTTTTTATGTATCCCAATGGAAGGAATAGAGCCAATTTGGTGTAGTGATTAATCACCAGGCTAGAAACTGGGAAACCGTGAGTTCTAATCCTGTCTTAAGCACAAAGCCAGCTGGGTGACCTTTCTCTCAGCCCCAAGAAGCAGGCAATGGCCAACCCCTTCCAAAAATCAAGAAAACTGCAGAGACTACTCCAGGCAGTCACCAGGAGTCAACACTCACTTGAAGGCACCCCCCCACCCAAAAAAGGAAGGAAACATGGCCATGTGCTCAGAGGAGGCTCCAGGTAATGTAAAAAAAAAAAAAAGGTTTTGGGGGCAAATAAAGAGATATAGCCCATTCCTGAGAGAGAAGGTTCTGTGCTACATGGAACAATGACTCCAGTTCAAACACTATGGAACCCAAAAGAGGAAATGAAAGAGAAAAGAGTCTGTTGAATATGAGAGACGGCTAACACTTCCCTGGGAAGCAGCCCTGTCTTCACCTAAAATGCCCTGGGAGTAATGGAGACTGAGCTTTACTCTAGATCCATTTCTGCTGTCAAGCGAGTAGCCGTCAAGCCCCTGACCGCAGCTCACAACCAAGGAAACTAGATCCTCACATTCGTCAAATTAATTACTGAATCTTGGAAACCACATACACATACTTCATTTATCAGTGGGTGATTTAAGGCAAGGTCTTCTTGATAACTTTGATCTTCTTCCTAACTATCTCCTGGCTCACGTGGAGGTTGCCACCCATCTAGCAAATACAAAAGGAAGATCTATCTGTTCTTGTTACACAATCCTTCGGAAATGTCCATCATGCTCCCAGGCTCAGAGAATTCAATTACAGTACCTTTGCCAAATTTCACTGGATATTTTTTTAAAGACCTCTCCAACTCCATGTACTTACTCTTCTGCTTGGATGGAGTCCACAGGGGCCACGTAATTGCTGGGGATGTAGCCAGTGGCTCCAGTGCTCAGGGAGCGTGCCTCCCACCAGTCACCCTCTCTGTAGTAAACCAGAAGGGAAAAACACAACGTAAGTGACCCCCTGCTTGGAGTTTCACCAGGAAAAAAGTACAGATGTCCAGGGAGCAGCTCAGTTGAAAGAAACAGGAAGCAGCTGGTGAAGAACGAGTTGACCTTTTGTAGAGCTATTGTCAGTCAAGAGTAGATCATATTGGACTAATTGCCCAAAAACCTCTGTGGGGGGTCTACCTTCCTCTTTTCACATTTGCAGGACACCCTCAATCCACAGTGAAATCTGTGAAAGCTAGGTGAGCACAAATCTCCCTGCAACTCACATGCTATCGCTTGTTTTGCATGTGAGCGCACCCAATATACATAAGCATATGAAGCTAAATTCAACCCATAGTTATCCCAGGTGTGCAGTTCCACAGACAGAAGTTAAAGGAGGCTGGGCCTTTTCACCTCCACTCTAAGTCTGAGAGTTGCTCTCTCTTTATTTATATCCTGCCAGCGATCCCCATGAAGAAACTGGAAGGGTTGTACATGGCTTGGCAGCCTCCCATCCAGACACTGCAAGTCAATGTTGCTTAGCTTCAGCAAGGAAGATGTTCCATGTGCCCATCACGTCAGAGCCCAATACTCACGTATTGTTGATGATGTGGAATTTCTCTCCTTTTACGAACGTCAGATCATCTTCTGTCCTGGCTTCATAATCATACAAGGCAATAAAAAGGGTGACTCCTCCACCTGCAAAAAGAGAGAGGGGCCATGAGAAGCTGTGTAGGACAAAGTCAGCCTAGGATGCATTGCCATTTATGTTATCCTGGGTCGACAGAAGACCCTCACCACCCCTCTTCTCTTGAATGGACAGAGATGGTGGAAAGTCATGGTGTCTTCTGATGTCCTGAAAATGTTCTCTTCTGCAAGATGGGCTTCTGTAGTTCTTCCTCTCAAACTGGTCTGGTACAGTTCCTGAGCTTATTTTATTATTTTATTTTCACAAAGTGCCCCTGAGTGTTACTGTTTTGGGGGTATTTGGTTTTGCCTACATGTCTCTCCATCACTCTGCTGTCCTCCTGGCTGCCCTCATTTCCCAGACTGAATAAGCCCCAAGAAAGTTCCCTCATGATATCTTGCCTTGGGATTTAATCAAAACCAGACCCCACACCTTACCCATCAGACCTTCACTGACGTTTGCCTCCCCTTTCCTTTGGGAAAAAAAATTAAAACAATCCCCACCCTACCCCCATTACCATTATTTGAGAATAGTTTTTTTTGAAGTTTAAGTAAATCACAAATGAACCAGTGCCATGAAGGTACTGGACTAGGAGGGGGAGAACCAGGTTCTAGTCCCTCAGCCCCAGAAGATCCTCGGGGGACTTTGGGCCAGTCTCTTCCTCTCAACCCAAGAGCAAAGATGGTGCAGTGGTGAAGGACCCAGGACTAGGACCCAGGTTCTCATCTTCTCTTAGCCACAGAAGCCTGCTGGGTGACTCTGGGCCTGCCACTCTCTCTCAGCCTGGACTGGAAAGTCTGTTGTACACTGCCCAGAATCACTTCTTGTGAGATGGGCAGCTATGTAAATTTGATTAATAAATAAATAAAGTAAAAAAAAAAAATCTATCTACCAACCCACACTTGAACCAGTGCGGTAGATCATGGCCCTTTAGTGACAGTGGGTGACAGGTCCTACAAGTCTGATTGTCTTTTAATGGTTGTTTTTCTTCTGGCGTTTGGGTGTTTTTTAAAATTGTATTATCATTTTTATTCTAGGCCACCCAGAATCATTAAAAGTTGGGCGGATTTACAAATTTCTAAAATAAAATGAATAAAAATAAATGAAGAGGCCTTCATCCAGCGGTGGACTGACTTGGACCGACAATAATAATACTAGCAACAAATAATCATCTTGAAAAGATGACCTCACATACCAAACACTATCCCAAAACACTAAACCAACTGAAAAAGAGGAGGAAAGGAAAATCTGAACCCACCCATCCTTCTCCTAGCTGGTGGCAGAGTTGTTGCAAAGACTGACCTGTGATCCCTATTGCTGGCATGTGAATGGAGGGTGCCGGGTAGAGCCCAGAGCCGCCAGGACCAGCTGGAGTCAAAGGCCCTGGTGTCCCTGGGAAGTTGTTGAAATCTGGGATGCGCGTGAAGCTGGGGGGGTTCTGCTGGGAGGAGTTAGGATTGTAGCAGGAGTTGGGGGGTGGGTTAATTGCCCCATCGTTGCTGTTATTCTGAGTTTGGTTTCCCTTCTTTTTCTTGCATTGCACACAACCCATTGCTGGGCAGCAGCTGCAGAAAGTGGAGAGAGAAAAAGACTGGTTTGTTTAACCGTAGCTTACTGAATAACCCCCAACTGATTTGACTCATACAACATGTGGCCCTCTATATTAAAGTCTGCAAACAGCGGTAGAGTGTTCTCCCTATCACACTAGGTTTAATCCAAACAAATTGCAACCTAGCTCCATCGGAGACTGTGCCATAGTTTGCCACAACACAGTTTGATTAAACCATTCTATGCTATAAACCATGATCCACAGAACACACTAAACCAAAACTAAATGAACCACATTTAGGTTTAGCATGAAGTGGGATGCCATGAGAGAGAAGCAGGAGAACAAGTGAAAAAAAGGAAGTGAGGATGGAGCGCTATGTTGAATTACAATATTCCAGGGAGAGAGTAGCTGCTGACCCCACCCCAACAATGTTTGGGACTTCGGTTCCCATCATCCTCATACAACATAGCCACTAGAAGAGGACTGTGGAAACTACCGTTTAAAGCATCTCTAGAACATCAGGTTCCCCAACTCTGATTTGATGGGAAGCTTAAAAAAAAAAACCTTTTACTTGGAAATGTATCAACATACCAAGCATTAAGAACACTTTCAGCATAAGATACAGTGAAGAAAAGAATTCTGTAATACTGAAAAGACAAATCCTTTTATTTACAGTGCTGCTTCATTGACACATGTTCTTGGTCAGTATTTGAACTGGCTCTTTTTTTGACACAGGGCTTGCAAAATGCTTCATTTAATCTCCTTAAATTATTTTGTCTGTAATGATACCCTTCCTATAATTTTCCCCCATTTTTTTTCATTTATCCACTAATACAGGAGTTTGTTGTTACTATCTTACTATCAAATTTGGATGATACCATTTTGCAATCTTCGAAATGTATCAGCCAGGATATCTGTATTTGTGGAGGGCTTGGCTTTTCTTTTCCCTAACTTTAATAAAGCAAAATTAACAAAAACAAATAAAAATGACATAGTAGCTCTTTGAGTGTACCCAAGACTGAACTGCAATGACCAAACCAGTGCATTAAACACACCCACCCACCCACCCACCCACCCACACACACAATTTGTTAGTAAAGAATAATCAAAGAGGCATGAGAATCAGAACTGGAGCGGGGGGGGGGGGAGGAAGATTGCTTCTCTCTCTCCAAAAATGGAGGTCCTCTTGTCAGATTCCTGGCCTCATTGATGTGGTAAGGTTGCCATTCGCCCATCAGAAAAAGGCAGAGATAATGGTGGCCATAGAGCTGAGAAGACGACAACACAATTCAGTATGAGGCTCAAAGGACAAGGAAGGAAAAATACACTTCTGGCTTTGTTTTTCTCAAGTACTGTTGAATTCAGTTGGGTTTTTCCCCATCCCATTCTTTCTTTCTGCTGTCTGTTGGTTGCATGGCAACCTGCTTGGCACATCAGTCCAAAGAGAAGGCATCTGTGTTGGGGAGAAAAGCTATGGATCACAAACCACATTTAGAAAGGTTCAGAATGACCCAAGGAGGCCAGGGATACTACCAGAGCAAGGCCAGGGAGCAGAAAGGGCACCATCTCACCATCACAAATGAAAGATGCTCCATCTAAAGAGGAAAAGCTATAAAACGTTTAGGTCTACTGTCAACATTTGTTGAATGACACCATTGAACCAGGTTCTCTTTCTCATCTTCCAAGATAAGCTGCAGCTTATCAACCTCAAAAGTGGAATTAATTAGAGGCTGTGAAAAGGACCAAGCTAGAACCTGGAGGAAAAGAATATCAAATGCAGGTATCTCAGCAAGAAGGAATTGGGTCCGACTTCATTTTTCCTACACAGCACCCTAGAGGAGAAGAACCACCTCAAGAACTTCTATGCTATGAGGAGAGATGGCTCTTTAGTAGCACAAAAGCAGAGATGCAGGTAGATGCACTGTATCCAAAAGGTCGCCTACTTTGGAGACAGGTATAAGATGGGGGCTCAGATGGAGCAGAATGGCGTTGAACTTACAAATAAAAGGAGAACAAACCTTATATGTCTTTCCATCCCATCTCCCTCCCTTCCCCCAGCCTAGCATCTTTTGGTAGCCCACAGTCAACCTTGGCTGATCTCAAAAAGGTAAGCAGCATCATATCTGGTTGGTACATACAAATACCTCTAAGCTTGACTGACAAGACAAAAAAAAAAAACCTCAGGAGAAAGAAAGCCACCTGTACTGTGGCCACATTCTGGGCATCACCAGAAGCTGAGCTCCACTCATAGGAGGCTTTATGTTAGGGACAAAAAACGTCGCTAAGCTCCTTAGGACAGGAACCCTTTTTCAGGCTAAAAGATATCTTTGCCCTTAGAATGGGATGGCAGAAAGCAGGACGTATTCCAAAAAGTGGATGGAGCCAAGAGTAAAATTATATTGGATTTAATTTAAGCATCCTTCAAATTCAGTTGATGAAATACAGTGAATATAACTACGCCCCCTTAAATTACTACTGATTCCCCTTTCCCACTCCAAAACTGGGAGTTAGACTGCAGTTTTTGAAGGCTGTATCCAAAGCTCTGGCAGCTGCAGTAAATCCCAACCTAACTTAGTCCTGGCTTAGTCCTGGCTTCCAACACAGTCCTTTTCATGGCCAGAGTGTGACTGATCCGCAAACATTTATATGAAAAAGCTTCATTGTATAAGGCTGTGTTCTGCTACGTTTTGGCACAGGAAAACCACAGGAAATGAGACTGCAGGGAAACTGGACTTCCCTCATTTATCTGCAGACATTCATGGAGGATCCAAAAAGCCAGTTTGGTCTAGTAATTAAGGCACCAGGCTAGAAAGCAGGAGACGGTGAGTTCTAGCCCTGCCTTAGGC